CAGAATGCCACAATACAATAGCACCCGGAATGAGATAACAAAGCCACTCATGCTGAATAAACAATTGGCAGCACAAGTCACCACCCGAGCACAAGCCAAACTCCAAAAACCTTTAGCGAGACATGCAGGGATCGAATTCAAGAGACAGATGAATGGTTCCTAAGCCATAAGAACTTATGCACCATGACTGATGGTCTATCATGGGTGAGAGGAAAATTGTACATACCCAAAAGCCAGAGACTAACACTCATGCAATTGTGCCATGATTCGAAATCCGCAGGACGTTTTGGGTTTGTGAAAATATTACATCTGGTCAAAAGGCAATTTTGGTGGCCATCGATAAAAAAGGACATTGAAAGCTACATGGTCAGCTGCCTGATTTGTGCCTCAGCAACGAGACTACAAGGGAAGTCACCTGGTCTACTACAACCAAGAGCAACCCCCTCAGTACCCTGGAAGGAGATTTCCATGAATTTTATGGTGGAGTTACCAGAGAGTGGAGGAAACTTGCTCAAAGATTCCTAATGCAAAGACACTCACAAAATTGTTTGTTCAATACATATACCGACTTCGTGGAACCCCACAGTGCATCATATCCGATAGAGGAGTTCAATTTACATCAGAGTTCTGGAAAGCATTCCTAAACCTGTTAGGAACCACCCAGGGACTATCATCTAGTCATTGTCCACAAACGAATGGTGAGACTGAACAGTTGAACTCAGTACTTGAACAAAACTTGTTGTTGTTGTTAGTTGCAAAGTCGTGTCCGACCCATTGCAATCCCATGGACAACGTTCCTCCAGGTCTTCCTGGCCTCTAACATCTTCTGGAGTCCATTTAAGCACGCCTACTGCTTCAGTGACTCCATCCAACCACCTCATTCTCTGTTGTCCCCTTCTTCTATTGCCCTCAATCTTTCCCAGCATTAGGCCCTTCTACAGTGAGTCCTTTCTTCTCATTAGGTGGCCAAAGTATTTGAGTTTCAACTTCAGGATCTGGCCTTCTAAAGAGCAGTTGGGGTTGATCTCTTCTAGGACTGACCGGTTTGAATGCCTTGCAGCCCAAGGGACTCGCAGGAGTCTTCTCTAGCACCATAGTTCAAAGGCCTCAATTCTTTGTCACTCAGCCTTTCTTATGGTCCAACATTCACAGCCATACATTGCAACTGGGAAAACCATGGCCTTGACTATACGCACTTTTGTTGGCAGGATGATGTCTCTGCTTTTTAGTATGCTGTCTAGATTTGCCATAGCTTTCCTCCCCAGGAGCAAGGGTCTTTTAATTTCTTGGCTGCAGTCCCCATCTGCGGTTCACCCACATCAAGAGGCTCTTTAGTTCCTCTTCACTTTCTGCCATTAGAGTAGTATCATCTCATATCTTAGGTTGTTGATATTTCTCCCGGCAATCTTAATTCCAACTTTTGATTCATCTAGCCCTGCCTTTCTCATGATGTGCTCTGTGTATATGTTAAATAGGCAGGGTGACAGTATACAGCCTTGTGGGACTCCTTTCCCAATTTTGAACCAATCAGTGGTTCTGTGTCCAGTTCTCACTGTTGCTTCTTGACCCGCATATAGGTTTCTCAAGAGACAAATAAGATGGTCTAGTACTCCCATCTCTTTAAGAACTTGCCACAATTTGTTGTGATCCACACAATCAAAGGCTTTAGCATAGTCAATGAAGCAGAAGTAGATGTTTTTCTGGAACTCCCTAGTTTTCTCCATGATCCAGTGTATGTTGGCAATTTGATCTCTAGTTCCTCTGCCTCTGCTTGTACTTCTGCTAGTTCTCGATCCACATACTGCTGGAGTCTAGCTTGTAGGATTTTAAGCATAACTTTACTAGCATGTGAAATGAGTGCAATGGTACGATAGTTTGAACATTCTTTGGCATTGCCTTTCTTTGGAATTGGAATGTAAACTGACCTTTTTCAATCCTGTGGCCACTGTTGAGTTTTCCAAATTTGCTGGCAAATTGAGTGTAGCACTTTTACTGTATCATATTTTAAGATTTTGAATAGCTCAGCTGGAATACTGTCACCTCCACTAGCTTTGTTGTTGCTCAGATTTCCTAAGGCCCATTTCACTTCATATTCTAGGATGTCTGGCTCGAGGTCAGTGACCACCCCATCGTGTTTATCTGGGATGTTAAGTTTGTTCTTGTATAGTTCTTTTATACAAGAGGTTTTGCCACCTCTTCTTAATCTCTTCTGCCTCTGTTAGGTCTCTGCCATTTTGGTCCTTTATCATGCCCATCTTTGCATGAAATGTTCCCTTCTTATATCCAATTTTCTTGAAGAGATCTCTGGTCCTCCCTATTCTATTGTTTTCTTCTATTTCTTTGCACTGTTCATTTAAGAAGGTATTCTTATCTCTTCTAGCTATTCTCTGGAATTCTGCATTCAATTGGGTGTATCTTTCTCTTTCTTTCTTGCCTTTCGCTTCCCTTCTTTCCTCAGCTATTTGCAAAGCTTCCTCATACAGCCATTTTGCTTTCTTGCATTTTTTTTCTTTGGGATGGTTTTAATTGCTACCTTTTGTACAATGTTGTGAACCTCCATCCATAGTTCTTCAGGCACTCTGTCTATTAGATCTAATTCCTTAAATCTACTTGTCACCTCTACTGTATATTCCTCAGGAATATGATTTAGTTCATACCAGAGTGGCCTGGTACTTTTCCCTACTTTCTTCAATTTAAGCCTAAATTTTGCAATGAGAAACTCATGATCTGAGCCACAGTCAGCTCCTGGTCTTGTTTTTACTGACTGTATAGAGCTTCTCCATCTTTGGCTGCAGAGCACATAGTCAATCTGATTTCTGTGTTGACTGTCTGGTGATGTCCATGTGTAGAGCTGTCTGGACTGACCTACTCCATTCGCAGAAGTTGCCTACAACAATGCAGTCCATTCCAGCACAGGCTACACTCCCTTTCAAGTAGCAACAGGACAGAGTTTTAATCCAATGCCTGAATTCTCATCAGCGAAGCCTGCAATCCCTTCTCTGAAGGAGTGGATCACACAACTCAAGAACACCTGGCCAGTAGTCAGAAAAGCTCTAGATGAAGCTAGGCAAGCATATAAAACACAAGCTGATAAAAAGAGAGTTGAGCCAAAACCCTTTAGTGTGGGGGAGAAGGTTTACCTGTCCACCAAATACCTAAAATCCCTTCCCTCCAAGAAACTAGGACCCAAATATGTAGGACCATTCCCTATTACAAGAATCATAAACCCTGTCACAGTAGAATTAGAACTCCCAAAATCCATCATCATCCAATTTTCCTCTGCAGCCTTCTAAAACGCGAGCAACAGTCACCATTAAGACCAGCTGTTGCTCCTCCCCCTCCTCCCATTATGGTGGAAGGGGAACAGCATTTTGAAATTAAGGAAATACTAGACTCCAGGAAACACCATGGCTCCACCCAATACCTAATAGCATGGAAGCATCTTCCACCCTCCCAAAATGAGTGGGTTCACAAATGAGTGGGTTCACAAATGCCCCTAAGCTCCTTAGAAAATTTCACACAGCATACCCTAACAAACCAGACTAATCCATATCTTTTATTTGTCTCTGTTTTCCCACAGGTGGATCTCTCTTTCTTTTAAGGGAGGCAGGATGTCAGAACCCATATTATTAAGGGGACTCCTTCTAATTCTATTTCTTCTATTACTCTGGGTTTTGTCATACTCCTGGAGCGGAGTGTGTAAGATGCTGTGGGCTGTCTCTTTGTCTTCTCTTTATCGCTACAATGTATCCCTTTTGCTGTCTCTGCATACTTGCTCTTTGAACTGTCTCTCCTTCATGTCACCTTGGGAGGAGAAAGGAATGTGCCTCCAGCCATCTGGCTCATCTCCCATTTCTGAAGGGAAGGTGCAAAGCCCCAACAACACTGCTGTGAGCCTGGAAAAGACCAGTGTTATCAGCTCTTTCCCACAGTGGGCTTAACACCTGGCCCATTTGAAATGACCGGATGAACTATTGGGGTGGGGTTTGCTGGGGACTCATTTAACCTATTGATCTGAATGGGAAACCCTCAAATCCTGTCTATTATGCCTGCTATCTGCTTCTCCTAATAAAGGTTCCTTTTGGAAGAAACTGCTTGCACGAGTTCTGCTTTCTTAGGATGAGGTATTGAAGTGGGCCCTGACAATGCCATAATAATGATGAATTGTTGTAAGTCACCATGAACAATACAATTGAAATTTATAGTATAAAAAAGCAAGTTCTAGTTTTTTAGAAGAATATGTCTATCTATCCATCAAATTTATTTGTCAACTTTATTTGGCTTACAAGAACAACAAAAAAAAGCGACACAAACATCTGACAATTATAAATATAAAAACAGATTACAATGATAGAAATGAAAACTAGCTAAAAAAACAAGTGGTTGCAGGGGAGAGGTAGGGGTATCTTCTCTGTTAGTGCACCAACCACCTCCAGCCAATAGCTTCTCCTTGCCAGCCCCCACAACTAGATTTTAAGGCTTTTCTAAAGGCTAAAAGAAAGATGGGAGATCTTATCTCATGTGTTAAGATGTTCTAAAGCAGGGGTGTAAAACTCACAATGTTACATGACGTGTTATGACATATCATGACATTTTTCCATTGCCGGCAATGGGGTGGGTGAGGTTTCGTCATGACGCATCTGGTCCGTGGGCCTGCAGTTTGTCACTCCTGTTTTAAAGGGTGGGAGCTGTGACAGAAAGGTTCTTCTGATGAGTCTCACCACCTGAAATCCCTTGGCTAATGGGTTAGCAATAGGCTCCTTCTACCAGTAGAAGTGGGGCAGCCCAATCTCATTGAGAAAGGGTGGCTCCACAGATATTATATCAGATATTTTCTTCCATCATAGTAAATAATTCATAAGAAAGCCAGCTGAAGCAACAACTTGGAGACATTATTGGTTGCATAATAGTACATGTTCTTATTTGATCAGCGTTGAATTAATGATTTTATCCATCTAGCTAAAAAGTAAATTTGCTATAAATTTTCCAAAGTATCCCACCTGGTTAAACCAACTGTGCCAGGTTATAACATCTTCATTTATGGTGAATATTTGGTCTGAAAAAATTGCAGGGTTTACCTTCCCAACTTTAACTCTAATGAAGGATTCGTTAGAAGAAACAATCCAGTTCAGTATATCATATCCAGCAAGTAATTCTCCATTGTAGTCAATAGAAACCAGATCCCCAGCACTGTTATTAAATGAGAGACCTTTCAAAAAGGAGTGCAGCTAGATGGAAAACAAAAAATAAAGATTAGCAAATGGTGTTTAATTTTTGGGGGAAAGTCTAAGAAATATTTGGTGCAGTGGAAGTCGTAAAAGAATAGAATAGAATAGAATAGAATAGAATAGAATAGAATAGAATAGAATATCTATGTAGGTAAATATACCTAGATATAAGATAGTAAAGTGTGTTTTAGGTGTTCAGCAGATTGCTATTGTGAGGGAAAACACTGTTTCTGTGTCTAGTTGTTTTGGCCTGCAATGCCCTGTAGCTGCATCCTGAGGAGAAGAGTTGAATTCCTATAATTGAAATTATGGGACTCATTTTTCTTTATACAAATAATGTTGGACTTCCGGTTGAATCGCAGCGCCGATGGCGGCTTTCCCGTGAGCCGTCCACCCCGAGGACACATAAAAGTCACAGGAACAGCGCGTAATAGCTGTTCCGCGGCTCAGAATCCCCTTCCCCAGGCAAAGGGGGGGTGAGCTTCCCTGTTGGCCGTAGAGCTCCCTAGCCCTCAGGATTCTTTATCTGTGAGGGTGAAGGTGAGTTTCCCCGGCGTCTGGGACTTCTCCATGCCTCGGGCTGCCTCCGTTCCTTGGAACGAAGCCAGATGCGGATTCAACCTCTGCTTCCAGGAGATTGTGAGTAGAATTTTACAAGCAAACAGAGCGAACCAGGAGGATTGGAACTGAAATGAATTGGGACTTTAACTCTGGAAATAAATAAGAATCTTCTTCACTTTTTACTTTAATTTGAAGAGGAAGGAATATGGCTGCGGAAGGGCATTTTTTTCTTGGATAGGGACTTTTACTTTTTGGAGACTTTTACTTTCTGCTGGACTTTCTACTGTAATAGACCTGGCTACTTTGTTGCTTGCTGGTTGGGCAAGCTTTCTGCTTTTGCTTTTGTTGGATATTTTTATAAGACTTTACATTATATAAATGATAGTATAAGAGAAGAAGAGAAAGTAAAATGGCCTCAAAACTTTTGTTCCTCAGAAAAGCACAATCTCCTCCCCAGCTGTTCAAACACCACAGCAGCCAAAACCTACTCCCCCGCCTTCTCCCCCAATTCCAGTACTTACATTGAAAGATATACAGGATGCTTTGAAAGACAATGCAAAACAGACTAGAATGGAGATGGAGGAGCTGTTTGAAAAGAAACTTGAAGAGAAAAATGCAGAGATGAGAGATGATATATTGTTTGCATTGCAAGGCTTGGCAGTTCATGTAGAATGTATTGATGAATGGGTGGATGAAGTGGAGGAACATGTTGAAACTTTGGAATTTAGATTGGGAAAAGTGGAGGAGAACATGGATTTAACTCAAAATGAGGTCACTATGTCACAATATAGAGAAATGGAATATGCTTTGAGAATAACGGGGTTGAAAGAGAACATTCAAGAAAAATTGGAGGAGGAGATTGCAGCAGATTTGGCCTTGGTTTTGTCCTGTCAACCTGAAAAAATTATGAGAGAAATGGAAAAAAGTTTTAGAGTCCATTCATGGGTTGCAAGACAGAGAAACCTTCCAAGAGATGTTGTTATCTACTTCTCAAGAAAATCAATTTGTAATGAAATTATTCAAGCTTTTTACAAGCAGAAATTTCAAAGTTTAGGACAAGATGTTATAATTTTAAAGGAGATACCACCCAAAATACTTAGAAGAAGGAAGGATTTCGCCTTCCTGGCTGAAGAGTTGAAAAAGCGACAAATTCAATTTAGATGGGATATAATGGTCAATTATATGGGAACACGTTATCGGCTCAACACGATTGCAAAGGCAAGGGATTTTTACATCTCAATTTTGAAAGCAGGTTCACCATCGTCTCCACAAGGTACCAGGAAGGAAAGAATCTTTGAAGATAAAGTGGCTGAAGGAGCCATATCATCATCAAGTATTATAAATCTACAAGATCAAGACCAAGTTAAGCAACAATTCATGGAAATTAAAGATGATCCGAAATCACAAAGAATGACCCGTGCAGCTCATAGACACAAAGAAAGAGAGCAACAAAAAGTGGATGTAGTACCTACAGCACAGCAAGTAATCTCTGAGCCAGTGGGAGGAGCGAGGCCGAAGAGAGCAGTAACAGCTGATCTACAAGGAGTGTTCCAGAGGCTCGCTGCCATTAAAGATGGCAAGGTTCCTGACATGGAATGTTAATGGTTTGAATTCTCCACAGAAAAGAAAAAAGATATTTTATTATTTGAAACAACATAAAAATGATGTTATTTGTTTACAAGAAATCCATATTACAGCAAAGGATCAAAAATATTTGATTAACTCACGGTTGGGAATACATTTTATGGCACCCGCGCCTCAGAAAAGAGGCGGGGTAGTTATTTATGTTAGGAAGGAGTTTTTGCCTAAATTGATTGACTCTGATCCAGAAGGAAGATATGTTTTTATTGAAATATTATTGAATGGGAAGAAATGTCTTATTATTGGATTATATGCCCCAAATCAACAGCAGAAACAGTTTTACAAATTGGTACATCGGAAATTAAATCAAATGGATTACAAATCAGTTATTATGATGGGAGATTGGAATGGTGTTTTAGATTCAAGAAGAGATAAGAAAGGTTCCTGTAAAGCTTTTAATTCAACATTGCCTAAAACTTTTTTTGACTTGAAGGATGAACTGGAATTAAAAGACATTTGGCGAGAACGGAACATGGAAGAAAGAGATTATACTTTTTTTTCGGACAGGCATCAATCGCATTCGAGAATTGACTTTTTCTTGATTACCAATGATTTCTCTTCCAGGGTGAAGAATATTAAGATTTTTCCTAGGACATTGTCAGATCATAGTCCTGTATGGATGGAACTATTTGCTGAAGAGGGGAAGAGATGAACTTGGAGATTGAATGAAAATTTATTCAGACATGATATAAACTTGCAGAAGTGTAAAGATCAATTGAAAGAATTTTTTTTGTTAAATATGCATAAAGACACTTCGATTTCAATGGTCTGGGATGCTAGTAAAGCATATATGAGGGGTAATCTGATTTATATAACTAATGTTTATAGGCGTAAACAAATGCAAAAACAAAAAGAGTTAGAGGAGGAGATTAAATTAAAAGAACAGGCTTTTATTCTAAATCCACTGGATAATAATTTAAAAGTATCTATAACTGTGCTTAGGGAGCAATTTAATATGTTAATAGCAGATCAGACTGCAACTAGTTTAAGGTATATGAAATATAATACATTTTGTAATGCAAATAAACCTGGAAGGAGGTTGGCCTACCAACTACAGAAAGAAGCAGAAGTCAATAATTATAGAGAAAATAGATTATAATGGTAAAATGACATCTCAACAGAACTTGGTTAAAAAGAGTTTTTTGGATTTTTATTCTAAGTTATATGCTTCTGAAAAAATACAATTTGAAGAAATAGATAATTATCTACAGCAGGCACATTTTCCTAGATTGTCAGATAATCAAAGGGAAAAAATGAATTGTTTAATTACATCTGAAGAGATTAAGGGGGCAATTAAGCAATTAAAAGTTGGTAAGGCATCAGGTACAGATGAATTAATAACAATTTATTATAAGATGTTGTCTGAAGAAATAATAGAACCATTAAGGGAATTGTTTAATAGTATTTTGTTGGGTGAAGAAGTACCTCCTTCTTGGAGAACTGCTTTTATATCTTTAATACCAAAGGAGGGTTAGGATTTGACTCAACCTAAGAATTATAGACCTATATCTTTATTGAACACAGATTATAAGATTTTTTCAAAAGTATTGGCAAATAGATTAATGCAAGTGTTGAGCCAATTGAGTCATAGTGATCAATCTGGATTTATAACTGGAAGATATATGAATTATAACGTAAGACAAATTATTAATTTAATTGAATATTTGGATAAGAATAATCAAATTCCTGCTGCTTTTATATTCTTGGATGCTGAAAAAGCATTTCATCAATTAGATTGGGGTTTTTTGTTTCAAGTTATAGACAGAATGAATTTTGGGGGAAAAATTTTGTCCGCTCTTAAGGCTATTTATCAACAGCAATCAGCACAGATTATAGTTAATGGGGAGGGGGTAACAGAAGCATTTAAAATTGAAAAAGGAACCAGACAAGGATGTCCATTATCCCCATTGTTATTTGTGTTAACAATGGAGATCTTGTTAATTAAAATTTGTGAGTCTTGTATAATAAAAGGAATTAAGGTTAATAAGACTGATTATAGGTTAAGAGCTTTTGCAGATGACTTGGTGTTAACATTAACTCAGCCAATAGGTTCGGTAATTGACTTGGTTGAAATTATTGCGCAATATGGGAAAGTTTCTGGTTTTAAGGTAAATTGTAATAAAACTAAAATATTACCGAAAAATATGTCTATGAATGATAAAGATATGTTAGTTATGCTCACAAGTTTTGAAATGGTTAAAAAGGTAAAATATTTGGGAGTTTATATTACAGCTTCTAATGCTAAATTGTATAAGAATAATTATGAATCTTTATGGGTTAAGGTGCAAAAGGATCTAAGTGATTGGAAAAAATTGCAATTATCTTTGTTGGGGAGAATTTCAGCAGTAAAAATGAATGTCCTTCCAAAATTTCTTTTCTTGTTTCAAATGATCCCTCCTTGAGGCCCCTCCTCAAGAAGCCTTCCCTGGACCCAGATGAGTTGGCCAGCTATCGCCCGGTCTCCAACCTTCGCTTTGCGGCGAAGGTTGTTGAGAGTGTGGTTGCGCAGCAATTCCCCGGACACCTGGATGAATCAGTCTATCTAGACCCATACCAGTCGGGCTTCAGGCCGGGGCACAGCACGGAAACGGCATTG